CGGTTGATCTGGCTCAATGTTAATCGGGAATTGGGAAACTTTTTCAAAGACTAAATGCATCCCTTCCTTGAACATAAAACAACGTGGTTTTCTACCCAACGAGTAAAAGAAGACACATTTTTGGGCATGTTCTCTATAAACTATATTCAAATTTATAAGACCATAGAAAATCAACGTGAAAATGTATGCTAATTAAGTAGCCACTTTTTACCGAGTACGGTTTCTGCAGGAGGTCAAAAAGAAGTCCAATCAAAAGCCGAAATCCTGGCGAGTCCGAAACATCATAAGGATTACATCGCTGGATAAGCATTATTACAATACCACCGTAGTAATTCTTCCCAATGGAAAACGCATTTCAGAATGTCCGTCAGCATTTCATGAGATCGGTCACTCACTGTAGGCGTTTTGCCGTACAAATTCGGTAACCCGGCACGTGTTCTCTGTTCAGCTTCAGACACATGGAAGGATTTTGGATTATTTCTCATCAGTAAAGTCCTAGGCGCTAATTCAGTTATTGCAGACGCTGCCCCCGCAAACTGACACCCACCGCAGTCGCCTTAGTCTCCCCGGAATGATCAGCCATTTGCTTCCGCATGGCACAGACACATCTCGCTAACGCTCATCGCCTAATTTTACTTCCAGGGTCAAAGCCCTATCGCTTGTTTCCCATGTGGTGACTGATCTCAGAGTCGCGGCTTCACGCAGACCCCTCGTGTTTCCTCTCCCTCGCAGTAACACGTCTCCTCAGGTCTTTGTCTGGCTAGCGGAAGGGAGGGCTTCAGCAGTCGCCAACTTGGAGAACAGGAGAAAACAACCCAGACCTTGTTAACGCGGTAAACAACGTCTACCCCCCCCCTCCCGCCTCCTGTACAACCAACGAGTTCTGAAAACGAACGAGGATGCGGGTAACTGGCTACTGCTCATTTGTTATAGACAACTCCTAGGACTACCTGGAGGACCGCAGTTCCCATTATGACTCGCATTTTCCGTGGTGGGAAGGCCATGGATGTGCAACCGAAGGCCCCCCCTAAAGGGAGTTCTCCCATCTGCCGAAACTTCTGCGTGTGGGGAAGAAGAGAGGAGACAGTCAGACGGTGGTTGATAGCGCCGAGCTTGAGCTATTATTTAATAATCGTAGCGGCGAACGGTTGTATGCAGTAGGTGGGCTAACTCATGAAATGTCAACCGAAATTACGAAATGCGTTTTCCGTTCGAAAAAAAATCAGCATGCCGGTTAATTCTATAATCATTCAGCTACCTCAAGACGTCGGCTTTCGAACTAACTTCTTCCTGGAATGTGCGTTGGTTTTTCTCATGCACACTTAAATAAATATCGTCTCGGTAATATCCTGCAGGAATTCTTGTTTAGGGTTTTCTTCAAAATCTCAGCCGAGGCCTCCGATTTCTGATGAACTTGATTCCCTCCAAAATGAAGTAAGCCCGGTTGGACTTCAAAAGTTGGTGTAAAAATGACATTTTATCGGCAGACGGCTTGAAAGGTCGCCTGTTTTTGTTATTCACTAGTGATGATAAATGATGCCGTAGAAGAATCGCTTAGGAAAGAGCCTTTTTACAAAACTCTTTGTGTAAACTATGGAAAGGCGCGTTCGTCACATCTTTGCTCCTGTGTAAGATGATAAATGAGAATATGTGAGAGAAGAATACAATGTATGCAAAGAGGAGGGTAAATGGAGGATGAGAAGAGTTAAAAGTAGAAGAAGAAGAAAAAGAAGAAGAAGAAGAAGAAGAAGGAGGAGGAGGAGGAGGAGGAGGAGGAGGAGGAAATGAGGAATAAAAAAATGGACACAGAAACTAAGGCACGAAGAAGAGCCAGGGCAGGGAATAAAGAGGTATATATTGGAAAAAGAAAATCAGTTGTAAAAATTCATACTACATAAGCAGCTATTTTTGCGGAATAAAGTCTATGCAAGCGTTCGATAGAAGGCTCATTCGAAAGTCAGCACCCTGACGTGACTGTACTATTTTGACATTATTCTGCAGCACGATAATTAGTGTTACAACCCTACTATACTAATATTTTACAATCGAAGGCATTTTTTAGAATTTCTGTTAAGATTTCATGGCGTAGCGCATCCATACGAGTACCCTCATCTGTGCCGAAAAATAAGTACTGCAGAGAACGACATTTATCTATCGTAAGTCTGAAGGTCGCAGGGCTTGATTTGATCGGATTTGCAGCTATCTGACGTGAGTGGATTTCGCTCTCATGTAATGACTGCAGCTAGGCGAGGACGTTCTCGACGGAGAATGACTGCAGTCTGAGGTCATCTATGATTAGTTCCGTTGCTTCCGAAACCCATAAACATCGAAACTAATTAGCAAATATGCTTTCAAGTCAAAGGGGCTTCATTTACGAGGATTTGCAATAACCGTTTCCAGCCTGTCGTCTCTTCGGTTATCAGCGTATGCTGCGCCAGGTGGATAGTGACTACTTTAGTAGTTCGTTTTTCTCGTTGATGTCCTGTGCTCTTTTTAAGTCAGTCATATCTCCCCGACAGGGCATGAAAGTAACTCCTTGCGCTTTCTTACAGGCCGACACGGTTGCTTATATTTTATGATTGAAGGAACGTGTCCTTTGGGTATAAAAGTTTTTTCTAACTTCCGGGCATTTTTAAATGACTGGCGATCCCATGCCTTTTTGCGTTCCCAAATACGCACGATGTACCTTCTCCGAGGCAGGTTGGTCCGGGTACCACATCTTTAATAGTAGAACTCTTGATTTTCATAAATCATTACAGTATACGCCAATTTTGTAAGCTTTGTAAACAGCATCAATCATTCTGCAATCACTGAACTTCGGAAATACTCATGCCGTTTCAAAAAACGCGGCGTTATCATTGCAAACCCTCCATTAACATAGCTTTCAACTTTCCATTATGGCATACTTTTCCGACAAACTATGTTTGAATTGCTCATAGAAGCGAACAGGCGAGTTCCAGGTAGCAGTTCAGAAGATGAAGATGCGATCGCTGGAACAAGAAACTTATTGGCCTGACGTTTCAAATTCTCACTCGAATCTATCATCAGAGACATTCGAAAATAAAAGGTGGAATATGCGAATGTCTCTGATGATGGATTCGAGTGAGAATCCGAAACGTCAGGCCAATAAGTTTCTTGATCCAGCGATCGTATCTTCATCTTCTATGTTTGAATTAATAAAAGCACGGATAATCAACGGGGACAATTCAGTATGCCTTGTTTAGTTTTCGAGGAAATTAATGCGTGAACTTGGAGAAGCAGTGGGTCGACCCACCGATGAGCCGAACCCCTTACAGCTACGTCAGGCAGCGGCACAAGATCGGCGAAACACGCGTGTCTGGGCTTTTTGCTCGTACCTGGGTTTTCAGTACGGCAAATAATTACAAGGTTCTGTAGTACTGGCTGCCTGTTGGCGGTTTGTGAATATTGTTCGGTTATTCCGCAGTAGCTGATGCATTTCAGCTCAAATATTCATATCAACTTTCCGAGCGTGGCTGAAAAGGCCTGATTCAAATCATTTTCTACAAATTGGCACGTTAATTTCTTCGGAAATTAAAAAAGGCATGGTAAAACTGGAGTTAATATAACAGAAAACACACGGGGTAGGATGGGGGACACATTACTGAGCCGAACCCCTTGCAGCTGCGTCAGATAATTCAGTAGCTATTTTTTTCTGAATGTGACCTATGCGGGGGGTGTGTTGGTGCCCGGCGAAGAGTCATCTTGCTATCATGTCTGAATTAATGCACGTTCATTTTTCAAGCCATATCAGTATTGAGACCCCCCTCCCTCCCCCAAGTAAACACCTATGGTAAGACACAGGTTAGAGAAGTTACAGTGTGTGACCGATCTCTCGAAATGTTGACAGAAGTTGTGAGATGCGTTTTCGATTAGGAATGATTTCTTAGGTGGGGTTGTAATAATGATTATTGTAAGACATAATCCCATAGTATTTCAGACTTGGCGGGATGTCGGCTTTTGAATGCACTTCTTATTGACTCCCTGCAGAAATAAAACTCGGTAGAAAATGACCACTTCAGTAGCATGCATTTTTCACATTTATTTTCAATGGTCTTATAAATTCAAGTATATTTTATAGAAAGAATGCACAAAATATGCTTTCTTTTACTCATTTGGTACAATATTATACTGTCTTCGCATTTTATACCTTAAGAAAAGTTATATTTTGGTTTGAAAAAAGTTTCTAATTATGAGGCTTTTAGGACCGTTCTATGTCCATACATACAGCATCGCACATGTCCCTCATATAATCTACAGCATAGTCCGCATCCATTGCAAAATTTTATGAACTCCACATGGTATCCTCTTAAAGGCATGGAGGAATATATGATTTTCTTACTCGGAAAGCATGCACCTTGCAGACTGGAATCGTTAGACGCTAATGCAACAGTTGATCTGGCTCAAAATTATTCGAGAATCAGAAAACTTTTTTAAAGCCTAAATGTACCCCTTCTTCGAGTAAAAAATATAAAAATAAAGTGATTTTATACCCAACGTGTAAAAGAAAGCACATTTTTGGGCATGTTTTATTTAAAATATATTTAAAATTAATAAGACCATCTAAAGTCAATAAGAAAAATGCATGCTACTTAAGTAGTCATTTTTACCGAGTATGGTTTCTGCAGGAGGCCAAAAAGAGGTCCATTCAAAAGCCGACATCCTGGAGAGTCCGAAACACCATGGGATTATATCGCAGGGTAAACATCCTTATAATCCCACCGAAGTAATCCTTCCTAATCGGAAACGCATTCCAGAATTTCGGCCAACATTTCATGAGATCGGTCACACATTGTAGGCCTTTTTCCGTACAATTTCGGTAACCCGACACGTGTTGTCTGTTCAGCTTCAGAAACATGGAAGGATTTTGGATTATTTCTCATCAGTAAAGTCCCAGGCTTCCGCTTGGCACAGACACATCTCGCTAACGCTCCTCGCCTAATTTTACTTCCAGGGTCGAAGCCCTATCACTTGTTTCCCAC